CTAGATCCTGATTTTATTTTTAAAGTGATTTTTTTGGAGTGGCTCTTATAAGCACATGTGTCCCCATACATGTAGGATGCATTCACACTCACTCTAATGTGTATGCAGGGCTCCTATAATTCAGTGTACCAAAGCTAACTTGAGCATGTCACCTGGTACTTTTTGTCTTGGTACCAGAAATCTCACTTTGAATCGTGATGCCTTTTGAATGGGAAGGTTGGGGGGAAAGGTTACCCCCCCCCCAACTGAACACATACACAAAGCTGCCCTATATATGGGTCAGAGCACCAGTCCTTCGTCACTACTGTCCTCTCTGACTGGCACATTCACACTCACTCTAATGTGTATGCAGGGCTCCTATAATTCAGTGTACCAAAGCTAACTTGAGCATGTTACCTGGTACTTTTTGCCTTGGTACCAGACATCTCACTTTGAATCATGATGCCTTTTGAATGGGAAGGTTGGGCGGAAAGGTTACTCCCCCAAAACTGAACACATACACAAAGCTGCCCTATATATGGGTCAGAGCACCAGTCCTTCGTCACTACTGTCCTCTCTGACTGGCAGCAGCTGTGCAAGGTCTTAAGCAGAAGTTTTTCACATAGCATGCAATCACACACACTCAATAATCCACTTTCAATCCATTTTCCAACTGGATTTTTACTGTGTGAACTGGCAAAATCCAGTTTGAAAGTGCACTGAAAGTGGATTATTTAGTGTGCATGACCACAGCCATAATTTTCTAAGTAACCTTTTTTACTGGGGATGCTGGAGACCTTCTGCATTCAAATGCAGACAATGAACACGTGAAGCTGCCTTCTGCTCAATCAAACTATCTACCAAGGTAACATATTATTATTATTAGTAGTAGTAGTGTTATTGTTATTATTATTTTTTTCATTTCTATACTACCCACAGCTGAAGCTCTCTGGGGGGTTTACAGCAAATATAAAACAATAAAATACAATAGATTGGACTCCTGCCTAACCAGGGAGGTCTTTAAAGGCCTCCCCAAAGAGGGCTGTCTTAACCTGGAAACAAAAAGATGGCAAATCTGGCGCCCGGTGGGCTGCAGCAGGAAGGCTGTTCCAAAGATGCCCACCACTGAAAAGGCCCTTTCCTAAGTTGCCACCCCCCAAGCCTCTTGAGGGGCTGGCACCCGGAGGCAGTCCCCAGAGAGGTTCAGCGTAGTGTCTGGGGACTTTTGAGTCCTGTGACACCTTTCAGACACAACCAACTTTTGCTCCTGGTATAAGCTTGCTTTCCGTGTGCATGCAGACTTATTCTTCTGCACGCGGAAGCTTATACCCAGAATTAAACTTTGTTGGTCTTAAAGGGGCCACTGGACTTCAACTTTGTTCTGCTGCTCCAACACGGCTACTTACCTGAACCTATCTACCAGGACCAGCATCGCCTGCTCTGACCGGCAGCAGCTTCCCAGCCTCTCAGGAGGAAGAGGTCTTTCACACATCCCCACTACTTGACCCGACCAGATCTGGGACTTCCCGCGTGCCAAGCAGAAGCTCCACTCCCGAGCCTCCCTCTGCCGCCGCCCCTCACCTTCCTCCTCCTCGTCGTTCTCGCCCCCGGCGCCAGGCCACTCTCGCCCCCCGCCGCCGCCCGGGCTGGGCTCGTCCTCTTCGGAGCCGGAGCTGCCCTGGCTGAAGTCGATGCGCTGCGCCAGCCGGGCCAGGTTCTGCGACATGGACAGGGGCTGCAGGTAGGTCTCGCTCCCGTCCAGCCCCACCTCCTGCACATGCTTCTCGCTGGCCGACTCGATGCTGATCCGGACCGACGGCACCCCCGACATCTTCGCCGCCTCAGGGGGACGCGCTCCCCCACCGCCGCCGTCCCGGTCCTCCTCCTCCACGAAAATGTGGGGCTAACCGGCAGGCCCTCGATGAGCATGCGTGTCGGGAGTACGGTGTCCCTAAAGGGGAGAGGCCCATCTGCCTCTCAGGGCGGGGTGTGCTCGGGTCTTTCCGGAGAAGTTCCGGACACAAGACTGGGCGGGGATAGAATGGTACGAGGGAAGCCCGGGAAGAACTACGCTCTGCGCGACCCCTGGTGGCAGCCGAGAATGTGAGTTTAATCGTTCGGGTGTTTTCGTAAGAGCTCGGGATACAAAGGGGGCGGGGACAGAACGGCAGGAGGGAACTCCCCCCCCAGGCAAGTTGCAGGTGACGTAAAGGGCGCATGCGCACGAAAGCCTGTATCCGGGTTTAAATGTTGCTGGTCTTAAAAGGTGCTGCTGGACTCAGACTTTGTTCTAAAGCAGCCCTTTTCAAGGCGAGAGACGAACAGGGATGGCTTGTCACTACCTAGCAACCCTGGAATTCCTTGGTGGTCTCCCATCCAAATACTGAGCAGGATCAACGCTACTTAGCTTCCGAGATCTGACCAGATCAGGCTAGCTAGGGCTATCCAGGTCTGGGTACGAAAAGCCTAGAGGTTCACTTTTGTGCACTGCAGCTGCAATTAGCTCTGCGGTTTTCAGCCGTTGCTGACTTCTTTTTTTGGCGCGTCTGCGTTTGCTTTCCATGCTCCCCCCCCCCCCGCCCCGCCCCCGTTGCAAGGGCTGGTAGGCAAGAAAGAAGAGGCTGCAAACTGTGCAGCTCAAGCCTAGATGTTTACTTGAAAGCCAGACCCACAGTTCAGGGGCCTGACCGGCTCCCAGGTAAGAGAGCATAAGATGCTGACTTAATTTGGTGACAGCCAGGAGTTCTGCCTCCAGTTTCTGACAGGAGAAAACTATCCCAGATGCTTTTCTAAAACACTGCATAGTTTTTATTGAGCAGAGGTGACTAAAATATAATGCACCTAGTTTAAGTGAGGACCCCCCTCTTTTTCATAGGTAGCAAGTTCCCATCTAATACATTTTTCTCTCACACATAGCTCTCCCTTTTCCATTTTATCCTCTTAACAAGCCTGTTAAGTAGGCTAGGCTGAGAGAATATGAATGGCTTAAAATCACCCTACAAGAGCCCGTGTCAACAGCCGGGATTCAAACCCAGGTCGGCAAGACCCTAGAACAGGAATGTAGTTTTAATGTTGGGGGGAGGGGGATTATCAAACTGTTTATTGTATTAAATAGTGTTGTTGTCCTCTTCCTTGAGTCAGTGAGAAAGGCTACAAAGAACATATTTGGCAATGTCAAAATCCAAAGCACTTCAGTTGCAATTTTGGACAGTGACCAACCCCCCCCCCCAATACTCCCAAAATGGTGCCTAAAGGGTTTTCAACCCACACTCTAAAGAATGAGCACAGAATCTTCTATCACCTCTCTTTGTTTACATTGTTTCATTGGTATTGATTCTTGCTTGACAGTAGGTTATAGAAGATGCAATTCTGTGTATCCAATTGGGTTTAAATGTGAGTCAAGGCTATAGCTAGCATTGAATCTTTAAGTTACCTGAGATCGCTTTCAAGGGGTGAAACAAAGGATAGGAAAAGAACCCCTTAAATTTCAAACCAGTTTTATTTTGATAATCAGACTGTTGAACTGTTGCATTACTGCCTACCATTTTCTTCTCACTGTGACACAGAGAGTATTCCATCTTTCTGTTTATACCTCTGAGGATGCCAGTCACAGTTACTGGTGAAACATCAGGTTGTACAATGCCAAGACCACAGCCACACATCCCAGAAAATCTACAGCAACTAATGTTGCATTACTGTTAGAAAAATACCTCATAGTTGCAAAAAAAGGTTAATTGATGTTATATTTATTTATTTTTGCTTCCACCTGTGATGCAAACCTAACAGGATACTGAACAATCAGTGTTGCCTAAATCAACACAGGCAAAACAATATGATAACAGACACATTGTGAATACAAGGCACATTTGGGTCATCTGAACAGGGAAAATGTCATCTCTGAAAAACGCTGGAGACAGGCATGACTATAGAAAACAAGGATGTCGTATCCTCCTTTCTGGCCTTGTGTTTCTTCTCCCTCTCTCATGAAACTAGAACCGAGGAGCATCTGATGAAGTTAATGGATAACAGGCTGACGACAGAGGAAAGGCAGTGTTTCACTTAATGAGTAATTACATTGTGGATGTTGTGTGGTTGGGTGTAATGACGACTAGCGGCATAAGAAGACTTTACAGAATGATTAGTCAGATGTGTGGAGGATAGGTCCATCAGTGGCTACTGGTCTTGAGGATCGAAGGGAACATCACTTGTTCAACAATGCATTAGTATTACACATTACACAAACATAATGCATACAAATGAACACTGTTAACACTGTATTAGTCATGGTGATGAAAGGAAACCTTCATATTTAGAGGCAGTAAACCTCTCAAACCCAGTGTGAGGAGGCAGTATCAAGGAAAGGCCTTGGCTTCTATGCTCTGTCCGTTGGCCCACCAGAAAGCCAGTGTGGTGTAGTGGTTAGTGTTGGACTAGGACCTGGGAGACCCAAGTTCAAATCCACACTCTACCATGGAAGCTTGCAGGTGACGCAGCCACACACTCTCAGCCTAACTTACCTCACAGGAACAACGTTTGAGTCCAGTGGCACCTTTAAGACCAACAAAGTTTTATTCTGGGTGTAAGCTTTCGTGTGCAGGCACACTTCTTCAAGGTGCCCCTGGACTCCAACTTTATTCTGCTGTTTCAGAGCAAAACGGCTACCCACCTGAATCTACCTCACAGGGTTGTTGTGAGGATAAAATGGAGGAGAGGAGAATGACACAAACCACTTTGGGTTTCCACTGGGGAGAAAGGCAAGGTTAGATTAAACAAAATAATAATGGCCACTGTGAAAGAGGATACTACTGGTCTGATCCAGCAGGGCTCTTCTTTGGGATATTACTGGTGTGGACGAGGAGATGACGTTAGCTGGGCTTGCTGTCTGGACATGGAAGGGAGGCAGGTAGAGGTGCCAGCTCTGGGTTCGGAAGCAGCTGGAGATTTTGGAGTGGAGCCTCGGGAAGGGGGTGGGTTGGGGAGTGGAGGGACTGCAGCAGTCAAAAATGCCAGAGTCCACCCTTCAAAGAAGCCATTTTCTCCTGGGAACTGATCTTGGTCATCTGGAGATCGACTGTAATAGCAGGATATTTCCAGGTACCTCCTGGAGGTTGGCAACCCTGGGGCAGGACTCCCTGCCTGCTGCTCAGAGTGGCCTGCTGCTCAAGGAGTTGCTAGAATGCAAAGGAGAGGGATGGAAGCTTAACGTATGGCTCATTTATTGATATGGCTTCTGATTTTTCTGGTCAGATTCATTTCAGCTGTGCTTCCAATCAAACAATCCATTTTGAATGCCTTTTAAAAGCGAATAAAAATAAGTGCTCTGTTGCCGTGGTGCTTGGATTAGAGTTCTGTGACTGCGGTTTCACTTAAAAGCGAATAGGCAGCAACACGCTTGGTTTCTTGCTTCCCGTTTAAGACGCCTTCCTGCTCCAAGCGAAGCCGGTGCCGATTCAATCTCGCCCCACCATGTGCGTTTCCTTGGGTCTGTCAATTCGAAAGAGATACTCAGCGGGCGCGAAATAGCCCAGATACTCGACGGTCTCTGGCGTGGTGTCTGTATGGTAGTGTCCCCCGTCGCCGTGGTGGCTGAAGCAGTGGGTGTGCTCCAAACGTAGGTCGAAGCCCTAGGAAATAAATTAAGAGCAAAAATTAAATCCAAGCTCAGAGCCCGGGCTTAGGAAGATTTGCAGGACTGACTTTATGACCGCTCCAATTTTCTTCCCAACGGTTTCTTTGCCTCTCAAACTCTCCATGATAAAACACTTACAGAGTAAAGCGCTATCAGCAGGAACAGCACATGTTGTACCTATTGTGGTGTTACGTGTGTGTGTGTGTGTGAGAAGTGCTGTCAAGTCGCTTCCGACTGACGAGGACCCTTTGGATTAACGTTCTCCAAAACGTCCTATCGTTAGCAGCCATTCTCAGGTCTTGCAAACTGAGGGCTATAGCAGTTCAGAATTGCAGGAGGGGGAATCCAGTGTGGGAATGTCCTCTCCCACAAAGCTGACCAGGCAGGGAGAAGGTTCTCAGCTTCGTTTACGAACCAGGCTGCACTTCTACCCTGTTTCCCCAAAAATAAGACCTACCCCAAAAATAAGCCATAGCAGGATTTATATGCATTTGTGGTATAAGCCCTAGTGTGTCTTCTTGAGAAAAAATAAATATAAGACAGTGTCTTATTTTCGGGGAAACATGGTAGGTTAGATCTTCCCCACTTTTCAGGGCTCCCAAAAAGGGGGAGGGAGATTGCTGCAAATAGAAAATGAGCATAACAGGGTAAAGTCCTATTCCAACTTTTTGCTTTCTGTGGAGTTCCGTGAGGGTTTTAGACAGATTTATTTTGCATGTATTTGTTATTTACAGTCCGCCTCTCTCACTTGGACTCAAGGCGGGTCACGCAGAGTGAACCAACACGAACGACAGGATGAGACATTCAACGAGCAAGGCAATAGAAATTAGGGGTGCGGAATCCACCAGAAGTATAGAAATAGAACCAGAGCAAAGCATAAGTATTTGAACAACAGATTAAATGATGCAAAGTTCCATGGATCCTAGTTTCAGCAAGCTATACGCAGTAGTACAGACCACACTCCCAATAATTTATCCAATTAACTTTATGAATCATTTAGTACAGTACAAGTCCATTGCCTGCACAGAAAAGCCCTCTCGAATAAATCTTAAATAAATTTGATGAGCCACCTGTAGTTTTAAGTGGCACAGTCCTTTCTACCACCTCATTCAGCAGCCATGTGCATCCCAGACTTTATTTGAGTCCAGTGTTACCGTTAAGACTTTATTCATGGATGATGAGACAGACAGAACAGTGACACCTAATGGTTCTAACGTATTAGGAAACCAGGTTGTGTCTACAGGGGGGGGGGGGGGATCTGTCTTGTAAAATTTTATCCTGCTTTTCCTTCAAGGAGTGCAGGGTGTTGTGTATGGTTCTCTTCTCCCCATTTTATTCTCACAACAACTGATGAACCTGTATTTGTTAACATATATAGATCTATGATGTGGCCTCATTTGGAATACTGTGTGTACAGTTCTAGTCGCCACATCTCAAAAAGGAGCTGGAAAGAGTACAGAGGAGGGCGACCAAGATGATTAGGGAGCTGGAGGACCTTCCCTGTGAGGAAAGGCTGAAGGGTCTGGGACGTTTCGGTTTAGAAAAGAGACGACTAAGGGGGGAACATGACAGAGGTTTATAAAATTATGCATAGGTGGAGAGAGTTGACAAAGAATTTTCTCTCTCAAAATGCTAGAGGGCATCCAATAAAGCTGATCGGCAGTAGATTCAGGATGGACAAAAGGAAATACTTCTTTACACAGTGAGTGATTAAAATGTGGAATTCACTGCCCAGGGATACTGTGATGGCCCCAGGCACAGATGGCTCTAAAAGGCAAATAGATACATTCATGGAGGATAGGTCTATTAGTGGCCACTAGCCATGGTGACTAAAGGGAACCTATACGTCCAAAGGCAGTCAACCTCTGAATACCAGTACCAAGAGGCAACATCGGGAAGGCCTCGGCCTCTATTTTCCTGTTGTTGGTCCTCCAGAGGAACTGGCTGGCCACTGTGTGAGACATGATGCTGGACCAGATGGACCACTGGTCTGATCCAGCAGGGCTCTTCCTATGTTCTTCTTAATATATTGGCTTGGATCCTATACTTTTTTCCTCTACTTGTGCAGTGCTGTCCTCAGTTGTGGACATGATAGGACATATTCCTTCTGGTGCTGGATGTTTGCTATTCACTCAAGACCAGCATATGATATGATAGCTGCTTTGCCAGCTCTTGAGCTCTCAACCACCCTCCTCCAAATTCTTATTTGTCAGTGGCAGAGCACTTTGCTTTCCATGTGGTCCTTGGCACCTCCAGTTAAAGGTCTGAAGTAACAGGTGTAGGACAAGGCTGGTCTTTCACTGAGAACCTAAAAAGGCCGGGTGCCAGTCAGATGAGAAAATACTGAGCTAGGTGGACCAGTGGGCCAACATGGGGAAAGGCAGCTTCATAAGTTCAAACGGCACCAAACCAACATGCCAGGAAACTCCCCCTTCCCCCGTCAGCCAATTGACTTACTGGATCTCTGGAAACCAACACTGGTTGACAGATAAGCGGAGCCGTCATTTCAAAAAACTTCAGCCAGTTGTTCACCTCCTCATCAGTGTTTAAAGGACAGGTGGAAAATTCCGGCTGTAATGAAATAGCATCGAATGTGAGAAGGACTGGATCTAAAGTCACTCGGGACGTTTTCCCCTGCCATGCCAAATCCAGTCACGCAGAAGGTCCTCTTGAGTTATATAAACCTTCCCTCTCATTGGTGTAGCCTATCCTTAAATATAACTGCCTCTCCCAAGTTAATAGACCAGGCTTGACAGAACAGGCCAATCAGAGATGCATCAGATTCCCTCAGCAACTTTGTGCTAAAGAACAGGTACCACCGCCGAATGTAATGGTGCCCTGAGCACTCACTGGGCCCAACAGGACAGAATAGGGCTGCCAACCTCCAGGTGGGGGGCCCTGGAGATGTCCCAGGATTACAACATATCTCCAGGCTACATAAAATCACTTATTTATTTAAAACACACATTCCACTTCTCCTGGAGAAAATGGCTGCTTTGGAAGGTGGACTGCGTGGCATTGTACCCTAAAAGAAGTCCCTCCCTTCCTTAAACCCCACTCTCCCAGGCTCCACCCTAAAACCTCCGGGTATTTCCGATCCGGGAGTCGGCGCCCCAAGAGAGAAGTTGACCACAACTGCTTTACACTCAGCCTGTCCCTCCAAAAGTTCAAATGACACAATAAGCAACCTCTGGCTGTTCTATGTTTCTTTTCCCCTGTGCAGAAATGTAGACCTTGTTGAATCTCACGTGATTCTCCCATGCTCCCAAGGGATCCATATCCTTGATCATCAGGACTTGGCGGCACGCAGCACATATCGCCCCGAGAACACAACACGACTCACCATAACGTGAATTTTTGCTTTCCCCTTCTGCATCACGAAAGTGCCTCCCATCCCCACGGGCTTGTCTCCGTAGTGTTTTTCTAAGGCTTTCCTGATGCAGGATATGAAGTTCTGCTCCCCGGTTCTTCTGTTTGCTTTTACTTCAATGACCTTATTAAAAATAGATGCAGATTTCGCTTATGGCAGGAACTTGGCATTCAAAATCAAAATTAAACTTGGCATGCACGTTTAAAAAACATAAAGCACTGTTTCTATTATGCAGTAAAACAGTACAGTTTACGGCAGAACTTCAGTAATATTGCACAGTTACATATGCTTTGTCCTATGTGGTAAGCACACTTCCCGTACATTACCCCCGTGATCTGTACAACAACCTTGCTAATGAATAAAGTACCGTCCAGTTGCAACCGAATCATAGTGTCTCCAGCCACAGGGTGTTCCAGGAAATAGGCAAACACAGGGGGTTTGCCATTGCCTTTCTTCGGCATATCAACTTTAGTCTTCCGTGGTTGTCTCCCATTCAAATACTGAGCTATCTGGGCTGCTAACAACCCTGTTAGGGCAACATTATAACCCCCCCCCCCCCGCCAGTTACAAATAAGGGACTCAAAGACCGAGAGGTAACATCCGGTTTAGAACAATGTGAAAAGGGGCCTTTGTGTTGTGGTAAATAAAAGCTCTCTGTCTTTCTAGAGCTCAGACTGGGTTCCAAGGTTCTCACCTTCATGCCTGGCTGCTTCTTCCACACAGAGTCTAGAGACTCCTGACTGGGTTAGTTTGGATAGAGGGCAGGAGAAAGTGTGGTGGGAGCTAGAAACTCACGCATCCCCCCCCCCAAAATGTAGCCTCTCCTGGCCCCCAAGTAGGGTTCCCAAGTACCTACCTACGATCCGGTGGGGGACACATGCTTCCCTGCCGGAAGATTCTTGCTTGGAACACAGGCACTGCACTATTGACGTAGGCATGTAGCTGGGTGACTCTCTGGTAATGGGACTGGAAACTCTATGGTACCATCGAGTTTCCAGACCCATTGCCAGAGCGTCGCCCGGTGTAACTTCCTGGTGACAGCATGGTGACCCTCGACTTTCCAGACCCATTGCAAGAGGGTCGCCCGGCAACGTGCCTACGTCACATCTGGGCGACAGAATAGTGCAGCGCCTATGTTTTCCCTGTGGGAATGCGAAGAATTATACATCCCCCGCCGAATTAAGGTAAGTACTTGGGAGCCCTGCCCCCAAGCCACAGGTAAACAGATAAAAAGGGCAGAGCTTGGGTGGTGGCAGGTAGAGGGTTGCCAGCCTCCAGGTGGGCGTCTTCTGCCACAGTTACTTTCTATTTTGAGGTCTATGCACACTATTCATGTATAGAATTACAGAGGAGCCTACTGTTGGGTTTTTGAACAAGTTCTTTTTGTACATCATCATATATTCTAATAGCCAACAGAGGGCGCCGTGCGGATACTTAGACTGAGGAAAAGGAACCTCCGTGGGCCTCAGAAGCTCTTCCTACATATCCAGCATGCTTCCATTATGTGCAGAAAAATCGAAAAAGTGACAAAATCGCTCCAGGGATGACTGAATTCCCCCAAAAACCCTTTGAAATGGGCTCTGCAGGGCTCTGCTTCAGACACCAACGGTGAGAGAGAGGTTAGAACGTTCAGGGGGGGGGGAGAAGAGGCTTCTAACTGCTCTGTGAGTGAAAGGGGGTGGGGGAAGGGCCCTTTTGCCAGGCCTCCGTTGGCCTTTCAGGGAGGGAGGGAGCCTTGGGGGCTGGCCTGGGGACTGGAGGGAGCCTTGGGGCCTGGCCTGGGGAGTCCCTAGAGGTTTTGAGGTGGGATTGGGGAAGGGAGAGGTCTCAGCTGGGTATAATGCCACAGAGTCCACCTTCCAAAGCAGTCATTTTCTCCAGGGAGACAGATCTCTGCTGCCTTGAGTTCAGTTGTAAGTCTGGGGGTGGGGGGTTTCCTTCAGGCCCCACTTAGAGGTTGCCAAGCCTAGGCCTGCCAGCACTTTAGGGTTGCCAGGTCCCCCCCGGCCACCGACAGGGGATTCTGGATAAGGTTGCCAGGTCCATGCTGGGACACTCCTGGAGATTTGGGGGTGGAGCCTGGGGAGGACAGGGACCTCAGTGGGGTACAATGTCACAGAGTCCACCCTCCAAAGCATCCATTTCCTCCATGGGGAGTTATCTCTGTAGTCTGGAAATGAGCAGGAATTACAGGGGATCCCCAGGTCCCACCTGGAGGCTGGCATCCCTCGGCAGCACCCTCTGGGTGACTTGATACCACCTGATTTGCATGACTCAAGTAGGCCCAGCTGCTTGCTACTGTTCATCAGCAGCCACCCTATGAAAGCCAGTGCGGTGTATCGGTTAGAGCTTCAGATTAGGGTCTGCGAGACCCAGGTTCAGATCCCTATCTTGCAGTGGAAGCTAACTGGGTTATTTTGGACCAGTCACATACATTCAGCCTAGCCAACCTCACAGGGTTGTTGTGCAGATAAAAAGGAGGAGAGAATAATGTAAGCTGCTTTGGTCCCCACTGTGGAGAAAGACTGTAATTTTTCTAGGTAGAGGCTGTGGGGGAAGGGGTGTGGAGATGGAAAGTTGCAGACAGAGAGGCAGATAAAGGTAGGTTGGCTGTTGGGTGGGAAGGAAATTGTGTTGCCAACTCCAGGTTGGGAAATTCCTGGACATTTGTGGGGTGGAGCCTGGGGAGGGTGGGATTGGAGGAGGGAAGGAACTACAGATCAGTATAATGCCATAGCTGGAGGAGAAAAAGAAAA